ATATATATATATACTTGTATTAAAAAAGTATTTTGACGTTTTAAAGGCGGAACTAAAATTCCGGAACCATTCCATGGAGTTCTCCGTGCTTCTTCGGGACGTTTGTGATGTCACCCCAGTGTCTGCTAGGCACAACAACATTGCCTCTGCTGTTCGCTTCTTTCTAGGAAAGAAGTTGTATCATTAAAAAAAAGTGTCCTTCTCTACCTCAACAGCTACGACATGGCGGGAAACTTCTGGCAAAGTTCTCATTAGTAAGTTTTTATTTAAAACGTGACTTGTTACGTCTTTATTTAGCAAACCAACGTCTGTGTTGTGAGGCCTAGCGTTAGCTGTGTGCGGGTTTATCGTAACTGTCTCCTGAACTGTTGCTACGATATATAGAGACCAATTTTAATAAAGACTGAAGAACAAACTTATTAAAGACAAAGGTTGTTGTTATTTATATTCACTTTTATAATCTATGCTTTGTGGCAGCAACACAGAAGGCTAACGGTGGTTTATGCTGCTGTGCTACCCGCTAGCTTGGTTGATGACAGATTAAATAACCAACATAATAATGAGAATTTTGAAATTATATTTGTTTGTTTAATTTGTTAAAGTCTGCAGTGGGTTCTGGACAAGCAGGACCTGATGAAGGAGCGCCAGAAGGATCTGAAGTTCCTCTCAGAAGAGGAGTACTGGAAGCTGCAGATATTCTTTGCTAATGGTATCTTAAATTTGAGTTTTTACAAGAAATTACACAACATCATATAAATATGTGACTTCCTGTCCAACTTAAATGTAGTCATCTTATTTTACTTTACGTTATTTAATGTGTAATTGTGTCTCTTTCAGTGATCCAGGCTTTGGGGGAACACCTGAAGCTGCGGCAGCAGGTTATTGCCACTGCAACCGTTTACTTCAAACGCTTCTACGCCAGGTATCACATCATATGACATAAGAATACATATTATCTAGGACTGTGGTTGTAGTCATTTGGTTGTACAACTCAAATGTCTCTCTGCCGTTACAGCTGCACAACGTTTGGCAAACTTCACCGACATTCTTCCCAGCATAGGTGAAGAAGTCTGTCTGCTTGGCCATCTTATCCACATTGCTAATGCTGTTGTTTTCTTTATCTCCTTTTGTTTGCAGGTATTCCCTGAAAAGTATAGATCCAGTGCTCATGGCGCCTACCTGTGTTTTCTTGGCTTCTAAAGTTGAGGTAAGGAAAATTTTGTGGACAAGAATGTTTGGTAAAGTAGTAGCTTATGTTGTATATGTGCTCTGTTTATCCGTTCTGTGCTCAACACTGTTACGCTCACTCAGGAATTTGGAGTTGTGTCCAATACCCGGCTAATCTCTGCAGCAACGTCTGTGTGTAAGTCGCCATTTTTTTTCATCAAATATTTCCTAAACTTGAAAACAGTACAAATCGCTCAAATTGTGTTTCTTCTGCAGTGGAGACGTTATAATTATGTTTATTTTCTCAAACAGTGAAAACCAGGTTTTCCTATGCCTTTCCAAAGGAGTTCCCTTACAGAATGAATCATGTAAGTAAAATGTTTGCGTAACAATCTATTTTATGCATTTAGATGCTGTTATCCAGAGCGAACAAAAAAAATATCATTTAGAAGTAACATTTGTTAAACAGTAATTGCAGCAACGTAATGAGGAAAAGTAATGTCTTAACCCTGTGAGCAATCTGTGTGTGTGTGTGAGAGAGAGAGAGAGAGAGAGAGAGAGAGATGCGCATGACATATGCTAGTTTGAATGTGTTCCTGCTTCCTCTGCAAAGTTATTTATGCCCTGCTTCGCTACATTACAGCGTACCAGGAGCCCCTTGCACTGTAACACAGTGTTGCCATGTCGGAGTCCATCAATACCTGAGATTCCACAACTAATGTTCGCAAACCTATGATACAAGTCCTATTGCTGTGGGAGTTGGCTTCGACCACAGCTACCCGTGTGCGTGCATCGGTTCTGCATCTCCACCGAGTCGCCAGGACCTCCCTGGGGCTGCTCTGACATGCTGCCTGTCTGAAAGCTGTGTAAACTATTATTTATAGTGAGCCACCGTGGTGCGATAAAAGAAGGGAGTGGTTCACAGAGCAGAGAATGAGTTAGCGGGGGTGCTGCAACTCCTGCGCATCATTTTTCATGTCCAACCTGCAGACGTAGTAAAAGTGATTGTGGCCCGGGAACAAACGGGGAAATATAACAATAGAGCCTAGCATTGTTGAGGGTAAATAATAAAGTTTGTGTTCAAGTGTAAAAAGTACACATGTAAAAAATAATTTAAAGCAAAATATAGATTTATATTTAAAACTATTTAAATGTGTGTGTTTTACAGATATTAGAATGTGAGTTCTACCTTCTGGAGTTGATGGTGAGTGGAGAGAGCTTTGTGTCATTGCAGCTGTACTGTAAGCTGTATTCTTGATTAAATGCTTGGATTACTTAATGTTATCTTTTTTTCAGGACTGCTGCCTGATAGTGTACCACCCCTACAGACCACTGCTTCAGTATGTGCAGGATATGGGACAGGAAGACATGCTGCTGCCCCTGGCCTGGTACGATACTGTCTGTGTGGAGTTATCCGTCTCTTTTGACATCTTTGAGTCCTAGATTTAGCTGCTGTTGGTAGATTTACTCAGTGTGTGTGCTGTTATCTATCTGAACCAGGCGAATAGTGAACGACACATACAGGACGGATCTGTGTCTGCTCTACCCTCCCTTCATGATTGCCTTGGGTAAGATTAGTCCCCATGCATTTCTCATTGCAGCTGTTTAATGTAGCTACTGACTTAGAATAAGAATATTAGCTGCGACATGATCAGCTCCTTTCCTCTCACAGCCTGTCTGCACGTTGCCTGTGTGGTACAGCAGAAGGATGCCAGGCAGTGGTTTGCAGAGCTCTCTGTTGACATGGACAAAGTAAGAATCCAAAAAATCCCTTTTTACATGTTTTAGAATCTGAATTAATTAAGGTCGAGACACATACACGTACTACATCAACTTTTCTCACAGTGTCACATACTTCTGATAAATACTGGGAGAGAACCCATTTCACTTTGGGACTATTTCGTATTGAGCAGCTGTGGATCCACATACGTTTACTTCGGTTTTTTGTTTTTGTCTCAAGATCCTGGAGATCATCCGTGTCATTCTGAAGCTCTATGACCAGTGGAAGAATTTTGATGACAGAAAGGAGATCGCTGCCGTGCTAAACAAGATGCCGAAGCCCAAACCTCCTCCAAACAGGTGAACATGCCTCAGCTCTGTGTGTAAACCTGCCGTCATATACGGCAGAAGCTCTCAACGATCTGAAAAACTAAACTGGGGTGTAAATGTATTTTATGCCACTGTGAGCTGTAATGACCCAAATATTTATACCATTTACACAGATGATTGTATTGTAGTGTTGTTGTTGTTGTTTAAAGTTATGATGACTTTCTGTTGTGCCTGAAGCCGTCTCCTTTTCTCTTGAAAAATAATCTTTTGACTTTCCAACACTGGTGCTCTGTTTTGAAGTCTCTCTGGAGGTTTAATGGTTTTAGCACCTCATTTGACAGAATTTCCCCACATTCATCACCGCCTGCCGTTATGAATCCTAATTCAATGTATGCAGGGTCGTATTTCCTCAACACACACACTGTGGAGATTTTACTGGCGCAGGGTTGTCTTGTCTCTCACATCACTATCCATTTTTCGTCACTGAATCCAAAGAAACGTTGGCTGGCTAGCAGCGGCAGAACACGTTCGTCTTTACCTGATGATGCATCGTGATTGAACTGGTCATTGACTTAATGCATTTTAAATTGATGCTTTATTTTTTTTTTTTGTGAATTCTTGAGCGCATTTAAAAACATAAAAAAATAGCTGGCTTTATAAATTAGGAAGTAATTAGGACGTAAACCTCCACTGAGCACAAAGCTGCATTTACTTGGTGTCATAATACAACTACGTTTTGCTAAGCCACTCACCTTCCAGTCCTACTATATCTCCGCTGTGTGTAATTATTTCTTCCGTCTGTCTACAGTGAGAGTGACCAAAGCTCCAATGGGAACCAAAGCAACTCCTACAGCCAGTCCTAGCGTCTCTTTCTGTGGGAATCCATAATGCTGATGTAGAGAAGGGGGAAACTTTTAAATGTCACACAGCACGACCGCTGTGACAAAAAATTAAAAAAACACGTTTCAGCCAACCCGAGATGCCCCTTCTTCATCTTTGACCAACAAACTGAGAGCCACGTCTTCACTCTTCCCTTCCATGAAAATATTGGATTGAGCGAGTAGCCACTGAAATATCTCGAGGAGGCTCTGAGCTCTGCTCCGGACTTGAAAACTTAAAACTGAGGAACATTTAAAGGTAAAAGGGGGGGGGGGGGGCTGTGAATGTGGCAAAAACATGATAGACCAGATGTGATGGTTCAGAAGAAACCTGCTTTAATATCATTGTGATGATCCTGACAATCTTGAACATCCCCGAGGAGCGACTCCTTTCACGTGGCGCTCCGTGGGATTCGAGAAAACTTGATCACAAGTACTGTGTGTGTGTGTGTGTGTGTGTGTGTGTGTGTGTGTGTGTGTGCGTGTGCGTGTGTGTGTGTGTGTGCGCGTGCGTGTACACGATGTGAGTGGCCAGTCTGGGTGGGTTTTCATTCCTCAGGGATTTTAGTAGTCTTCTCTGTAAAATGATTGGATCCTGTGCAGATCTGATTGGATACCACCCTGTTGCAGCTGTGATGTGATTGGACACCCTGCCCTGTCAGGTGTCTGCTGGTTGATCTTGAACCATGGCAGGAAGAATCCCACGTGAGGCACCTCGTTATTGTAGAAATGAATTCTTTGAATACAATGATTTACTGTTTTGAATCATAACAACTGCGCCTCGTCCATCCCCTCCCTCCCTTCCTCCCTTTTGTAAATAGCCTTATAACTCTTATTCCTTTCATCTTTTCCTTTTTCATCTTTTGGAAACGTAAATGGAAATCATGAGCCGGTTTAGCTTTGTGCTAGTGCGTCAAATATAAGGGCCCTTTGTTTCCTTCACCATCATGATTCTGTTGCAAAGCTTATTCTTAATTTTCATCTATTATGCTTTAGTTGTAGAATGAGTTGCCTAAAGCTATGTTTAGTACATTTTTTCTGTTTTTAATTTGTCAAGAAATGATTTTTTTTTGTTTTTGGGCCAAAACGCAAATTACAATCGTTCTAGATTTGTTGCAAACTTTTGGTTGTACATTCTTATTTTAAATCTACCATCTTCCATCTATTCAATTGCTTTCTTGTGGCAATATATTTGTGCATATACCTGTATGTGTCTCTATATCGTTGTGACGTAATGCAGTGGGAGCTGTGTGTGGCTGTACTCAAAACAAGGTGCTTGAAAAGCCGCACAGAATGAGAGCTGCTGGTTACAGAGAACATCGTGAAAGCACATTGTCCCCGTTCAGGCCAGCTGGAAAATGCATTTTTTGGGTTGAATGTTGTTGCATTGCTCGGATGCATCTTCAATTGTTTTTCCCCTTGATGGTTTCCTGAATGTCTTATTGTCACTGTTGGAAAAACAACTGAAACGGTACAGAAACATGGTGTTAAATGCCACTAGCCCTTCACTTTCACACACTGAGACAAGGAGACAAGACAGAGAAGCCACTGAGGCCACTATGATGCAGCTTTGTTCTGCTTTGCCGTCTGACATTTTCCTTCAGCGGCCTCCATCTGTTACACGACATTACTGGGGTTGAAAATGTAAAGGGCTTCACCACGCCTAAATAATCCTACTAGTTCTGGTAAAAACACATTTTCCCCAAATTGTTTTATTACTTGAAAGTCTGTTTATTCATTTTGGAGGATCATTTATGGTAATAAAAATGTATGATGTGTATAACAAAGAGGTTCACTGCTGTTATTCAAGCTGGTCTTTGGGGGAATCTTCCTGCATGTTATGAAAGTCTCATTCAGCCCCATTACCTAACCTCAATGTCACTTCAACATAATGGCTGTGGTAGGACCCCTAGTGGCAACAACAAAGAATACCTAACATATTCAATATCAGTTATGACATTTCAGAAAAGTATATGTTTAATAACAGAGAGGTTGGAGTTGAAGTATAGGCAAAGTCCACACAATACATTATCCAGTTTCCCCTGTTTGTGGTTAAGAAGATGTGAGTTAATTGACTTCATGGCATCAGAGGATGTATTTACCTGTAGTTGCCTCCAGGAGATGATGGTACCATGGGGTACATTCAGTACCCGTGACGTCACACTAGGTGCGTGAAGTCAGCAGAGAGAAACATTACGGAAAGCTGCAGCATTTCAAAATAAAATCATAGGATTTCATACGAATCTGTCCTTGCTTGTTTTGTTACATAGTTATTGTGGTCATATTAGTAGCAGTGGCTCTATAGGCCTAAACTATGTATTACTTTGTATTAGTATCGTGCTCACTTCTCAGTATCAATCAAAAAGGTTGGGTGTTTGTCAAATTATCACAACCCATCAAAAGTAAACCAAGGACTGTTGTGTCTCCTGTGGTGTCTGGGTCAGTTTGACTGGTTAGTAATGCCCCACTGTGCCCATTTCTAACACAAACTGCGTTATGGACATTTAGGGTGCAAAAAAAGAAGCCGTAGTTACTTGTTGATGTACATTTTTGCTGGCATTTTGAGTTAGGCCCACTCGTGTCCCGACACATCCACGAATCAACTTTTATTTTTGAAAGGCAACCGGAAGCGTCGTTTATCTGTCTAACTTGATAGCGTTAGGCGAGAAGCTGCATCCAGCGAGCTCCAAGCGGGCTGCGGAGGATGTCGACCCCGCTACGGGGACAAGCTCCGGGCGGGACGCTCGGGTCCAGTCGGCCGCTCCTCGCACAGTCGCCCCGTACCCGCAACTCTCTGCACCCATGAAGCCCCCGCCGATGAAGCCTCGAGCTGCCAGAGTGAGGCGGAAAGTGGCCCGAGACAGAGAGCATGTACTGGCGCGTCGGGTTTGCCTGGACGCGGTCGTGTGTGGTCGATCTTAGCCAGAACCAGAGCTTCTCCTCCGGCCTGCTGGGCTCCGATGAGCAGCTCTCGTTTTATGGGTACATCATCGCCTACCCACTGCAGGACTACGGAGGGATAATGTCAGCCCTGGGATCGGACTCGTGGTGGCGGAAGACGCTGTATTTGACTGGAGGTGCTCTGCTCGCCGCCGCTGCTTATTTGCTGCACGAATTGCTGGCCATCAGGTAAGCAACAACACGGAGGCCGTCTGAGGTGTCCCTGTGTAGAAGCTGCAGAGCTCATCACCTTCCACGCTCGGGCCTCTTGGGCCACGATCAATCCGAAAACCCACTGCTCATCTCAGTCATGTTTTCACACTAAATATCTGCTGGTCTTTATTTATTTTTCTCTGGGGTTTTGATGTTACTTAATCTCATCGGGCTGGGCGGGGAGAGAGTGGGTGGATTGTTATGTAACGGAACCCTCCACCACCGACTCCCTCCTCACAAACGCACATTAGGGCATTTCAATCTTTATTGGCGTATTTTATGTGGATTAATGACAGAGGTGAAGCAAGGTTCATGACTTTCGGGCTTGGTCATTCAAAGCAATTTAAAAAATGATAATAGCTCATTTATAATATTTGTCAGAGAGGTTCGTCTTGGGCCTTTTTTCAAGCAGCTCTATTGTCACATGAATTATAGACTTTGACAACGGGTCACTTTCACTTGTCTGCATCTCAAGGACGAGGTGACATGGATCCTTTAGGTTCATCTTGTGCTTGCTTTATTGAGACAACCCCCCCTCCTCCTCACACACGTTCCGGTGTTTGGTTTCAGGCAAAGCACTGCAGTTATGTGAAAAAACAACCTTCAATGTAAACAGTTTAACGCCAATACCCCAAACATACTGATATTTACAAACGGAAATGGTAAAATGGTGGATAAGAATGTATTTGTGTTTATTGTTATTGATTATTGACTGTCAGGTCTTTTGTTTTTAACATGTCTCGGGTTACCGGCAGCCAGAGCCTACAGCAATAGGCCTACAACAGTCAGTATCAAAATAAAAGCCTTGTTCGAATATTTAAATAAAGTCTAAGTGAGGTGATTTTAGCTCAACTGACAGCGTGTGGCATTCTGGTGTGTGTGGGCCTTCTACATTATAATGGTATACTAAAGCTGTCTTTGATGCTAGGTTGATTTTTATACAGAAATACAGTCTGTTCATGGTGCAGTTAAATATTAATTGGGATGGACTTCATCCCGACTGGCGGGTCAGCTTTCGGGACATGCAGCTCTGTCTCTATAGCTTTTATTGTATGTTAGCCTCATTAGGTTATTGCACCAAAACCAGCTTATTGAAGAGCGGTCGGACATTTCAGCACCACTCTGAAATAGACAGCTCCTTTACTCGGAGGCTTGTTTTTACGTTTCAGCACTTCACGCAGCGGACAGCTCCCTTTAATTCTGCATTGTGCCCACGTGAATTTGTTGCCATTTGCAGGGCCTGCCCTTGTCCGTGAAATAGCTCCCAATAGTACCCATGAATGCACCGTAATCTTTCACCGGGGTGTGATTCATTATTTTGACATTGCAGTTTTCCTTGGCTCGTATAAATGACAATTACTCAGGGCAGGTTAAAGGACCTTGGTTGCAGATGATTTGATTTACTCAATATAATAGCCCAATCCATCTCCTGCCACACACACACACACACACGTTTGTTGTTGTTTTCTTGCGTGAACTGCAGCTCTGTCTCCTCCACACAGAAAAGAGGAAGAGCTGGACTCCAAAGATGCCATCATACTCCACCAGTTCTCCAGGCCCAAAACTGGTGTCCCCTCCTTGTCCCCTTTCTGCCTTAAGATGGAGACCTACCTCCGTATGGTTGACCTGCCCTACCAGGTACAGCTGTGGTTATGAGTCTGCACTACTGTTTTTCTTTTATTCTCCTAAAGTCCATGTTCACAATTGAGTGTGAGGATGTTTTAATCCCATTTTATTTCTTCCAGTTGGTTTTTAAGTAAAATTAGATGTTTTGTTTTTATCTGATTCAAATTAAATTCACTTAATACCAATCACCAACTACTTTCTCAATCTGTATATTCTTTCCTGAATATGTTTTCTCGCAGAACTACTTTGATGGGAAGCTCTCACCACAGGGAAAGATGCCGTGGATTGAATACAACCAGGAGCAGGTGTGTGGTACGGATTTCATCATCGACTTCCTGGAGGAGAGGCTGGGCGTGAGCCTCAACATGAGCCTGACTCCACAGGAGAAGGCCGTGTCTCGCGCCATCACCAAAATGGTGGAGGAGCATTTCTACTGGTGAGGAACCCCCATAAAGTTGTTGTTGTCTTAGAATAGTGCAGTTTCACTGTAAGGAGCAGGAGTGGGACATTTTTTCAAAGAGGATTCTTTTTCACTCATTATTTGACATGTAACTAACTTGGTTGCAGGACGATAGCTTACTGTCAGTGGGTGGACAACCTGGAGGAGACCCAGAAGATGCTGTCTGTGAGCGGGCCGCTGAGTGACCTGCTCAAGTGGATCCTGAGTCATCTGACCGGTGGAATCGTCAAGAGGGAGATGTATGGACACGGGATCGGACGGTTCTCTGAAGATGAGGTGTACGCCCTGATGGAGGAGGACATGCGCACCCTGGCCACTCTACTCGGTGAGAAACCTGGAAAAACATTTTTTTTAAATTTATATCTAATTTGGAAGATTAGAATCTATTATAATATATTTGTGGGGTTTATTGTGATTTGCAGAAAATAATGTAAATTAACCAAAACATCCCAGCCTTTTCAACTATGTGAAAGTCTTCAGTACAGCACAATTATTATATATATTTATTTAGCATTTATGATATACAGACGATAGCTTTATAATTGTGAGTTGCGTGTTCACATGGTTTACTCTGTAAGCAGACAAACTGCTTTATTGGACAAGTCGAGCATCTTTTCAGTCTGTGCCATGAGAACTATAACCAGGATGTGATGTTTGTACAAATAGCAGCACAATACCGACCTCCTGTGGGGACAAGTTAGCATTGCAGTCTAGAATCAATACATAACCTCTGGAAGTAGAGCTGTGGTGGCAAGTTTTGTAACATTACACATGGTGTTTGCTGAGGTTAAAGTTTCATAACCCTAAAGGCCTCAATTGCTCTCTGATCCCGTTTACTTTGAGGCCAGAAGTGATTAGCATAAAACTAAAACACTCAAGTAAAATACAAGCTTATACTTCAAAATTGTACGTACAGTAAGTACTGTACTTGAGTAAATGCACTTTCCACCACTGACGGACAGAGCCAGGCCAGCTGTTTCCCCGTTTCCAGTATTTATGCTAAGCTAAGCTAACCAGCTTCTGGTTTTATATTTACCGTATAGTTTTATCAAACCTCTTGTCTATTCGGCAAAAAAATGAATAAGCGCATTTTCCGAAAAGGTCGAACTAGTCCTTTCAGAGGAAAAGAAAGTCTCTACATATTAATTGTATTTGTGTGTCGTTATTTGACTTCTTTTTTTCTGTGTGCTGTTAAAAGGTGATAAGAAGTATCTTATGGGCTCAAAGCTTTCAACAGTAGACGCCGCAGTGTTCAGTCACCTGGCTCCTGCTATGTGGACGCTACCAGGAACGCGGCCGGAGCAGCTAATCAAAGGTGAGTTCACCAAAATAGGAATCCACAAAATATGTGGATAAATGTGTATATGGTACATTTTTTTATCTTTTACATCTGTGTGAAGTAAGAAACTTCCTGAATCCATTTTTAATGTATACACTGTAGGGTCGACATCATTAAAACATGAATTAAAATTGTAACTGTTGCACTCAACATATTCAAATATATTCTATCGTACCTTAAAAAAGACATCGCAGCAGAAAAACACCGCAAGTTTGAAGCTGAACAACGAAAAATCCTTCCTTGATTAAAGCCAAGCAATGTCTACTTGTGACCCCAATAAACTCTATTATTGAGTCGCACAACAATCTTGTTCTTTCTCTCTTGTTAATCATAATGTGACCCTCAGTTTGGAAAACACTGGACGGACATATTATGTTAGTCAGGCCTGCAACTAATGATTATTTATTGATTCATCTGCAAATTGCTGTCTTGATTAAAGAATTACCCATCACAAATGTGATGCCCCTCATATTGTTTTGTGCAATCAGAACTCAAAAATGTAAAGATAACCCATTTATCATCACATAAGACAAAGAAAAGAAGCAAATCTCCGCAATGCAGAGGGTGATGAGAGTCATTGTCAACAAACGCATCATTTCAGCTCTACTGTTTGTAGTGTTTTGTTCAGAGCGCTTCACTCAGATGTCTGTCTTCCTCCAGGTGAGCTCATCAACCTGGCCATGTACTGCGAGCGCATCCGCCGGCGGTTCTGGCCCGAGTGGTTCGTGGACCTGGAGGACTTCTGCTACAGCGACACCACAGAGGGCAGGGACTCTAAACTGGCAGATTTGGGCCTCTACTCCTGCACGGACACCTTCCAGGACGTTACGCACACTTCACACACTCACACACCAAAGGACCCTCTGTCGCCCGACAGCGACCCCACCGGTCACTCGCTGTATGACTCTGACATGGACACGGAGTGCTCTGAAATGGACCAGCTCAGGTGTTGACAAAACATACAGGTGTTGTAGGCTACTCACCCCATGTACGCACACCACAGGAGGGAGCTGCATCCCACCTCTACACATGCCCCCTACCTCTGTGAGCAGAAAATAACTGGGTAGTATTGTTGGTGTCTCCTGTGGCAGTGGAGAAGTTGAGGTCCAACTTGCACACTGTAGTGGAGGAAAGATGGGGTCAAAAGGAACCAAAAAGTGACAGATGGAGAGGAAAAGAACGAGAAAGCGGTACAGTTGCAGTGGAGGGAAAGCGAAAAGAGAGGCAGAGCAAGATTCAAAACCAGGAGTAAATGACGCCGCTGCTGAGAAACTCCTCCACGTGGTCGACATCATCTGCAGTCACAACTTCTCCCTGTTTTCACGTTGCCGGAACAATGGCAACTAAAGGTGTGGCTGACCCCCTTTGTCCACCCGTCGCAGCTCGCACCACCCAGCCTTGTGTGTGTTTTGACTAACTGAACCCTTAACGCCTTGTATTGATACGACATTGACACGTAGGGTACTGTACAGGGATTCATGCGAATGAAGTGTAAATATATAAATGGGTTCGATTTAATAGATAGAATATTTGCTTATATACGAGTATAAATAGTATAGATAGCCTGCAAATAGAGAATTATCCCCTCTGTAAATACTGTAGGTGTTTCTCCTTTGTGTTTGACACAATGACTCTAATCGTCTTGTAGTAGTCTTAATGAATACCCCCTCTGCTGGTCTAGGATCAGTATGAGGAGCCCTATGACCTCCTGTACTGTATGTATCTGTCCACACAACTGGGATATTACAGTAATGCCTGCTGCCCAAATTCAAATAGTGCAGTGAAACTCTCTTTTGTCTTATTAAGACAATTATTTTGCCAATTTTTTTATTTTCCTACGTTAGAAGCATAATGTGACGACATACATTGTCATTGAGGACAGCAGCTTTAGGTGAAACAGACATTTTACAAGCATTCAAGCATTAAGAGCGACGTCTTAACAATCGTAGAAATAGATGTATCGTCTGAATGAAAGTGCATGGCTGGTACGTGCCAATTCAAATCTCCATTTACACTTCACATAGATACTGTTATCTACATGTCTTAGCTGGCTCATTCATGAAGTTTCATGATGCAGTTTGTTCGTCGGTGCCTCTGACCAAATCAGCCAAACTAAGATGTAGCCGATTAATCCTGAACCTTTCAGCCATTTGGTTTTTATGAAGATTCGAAAAATGATGGAATTGCTCCAAAAATGTCATGTGACTCAATAACAGAGCAGACGCAGGTTAATGTTGTGCTACGCTGCGTTGTGTTTGGGGTGTGTCATGGTTCGGTGCAGGTTTTCTGTGTGTTTGTCTCTCAGCAAATGCACATTTACCAACATATTGTATGTTGAGGCTATAATATGGATGCAAGCAAAGGGTGTACGCACTATGTATGCGCACGGATGAGCCACCCTTCTGTCTGTGAATGATGACACACTGATGAGGTTTCACAGCCGAACCCACACACACACACACACACAAACTGTCATGGTTAGGTGGCAGGACTTTGCAAGCGAATCCATTGGAATGAATTGAAATCACTGCAACATGTTGCCACTTTAAAATGCTAGGTCTTAATGCAGATTTACAGAATTTGTAGAAGCATAATCTGTTTCAAGACAGAGCAGCACAGAAATGTCAGAAAGATGTTAGTGTCTCCTTTACATCATTCGTCCACTAGAGAGCACTGATAAGTTTACTTCAACTTCAAAATGTCACACGCTCAATAGACATCTTCCAATTATTTTATGACCAAATTAAGGAAGTATTATCAAAAATGTTTAAAAAAATAATATTGGCCAAAATGTTGCTAGCAGATATTTTGTTTTATCTCTTAACTCCAGCATCAGTCAGGCTCTCCGCGTGAAGTTGCTACACAAAATGAAATTTATAATGAAATAAATTGTAGCATTATAATGTAGCAGTATATTGTGAAACAAGTAAGACGTCACTATGACTCCGGTGTCATCTCCGGTTGTTGAGGTGAGACGACGATGTTGATGACAGTGGCATGATGCGGAAGAATATAACGATGTTTTGATGACGGCAATGATCACCATTTACCTCTCCCACTTCATTTCAAGGCCTTCTGGATTCTGTGTTTAACAAAATAATATCAAATACATTAGGCATACATTCAAAGCCTCTAGTAGGGAGATGGTAAAGCCTTTGTGTGTGTGTGTGTGTGTGTGTGTGTGTGTGTGTGTGCTGCAGATGAACTTAAGTACAATAATAGAGTCTGAAAAAATGTCATTCTGTGTCTTAAAACTCCTCGTCTGCATGTTCTTGCCTTCTCTCATCCTTAGTCAGATTATGGAAACTGACTCCTTAAGCTGTTTACTTTATATCAGTGCCAGCATATGACTTATGTTCTTATATGTCATATGAATTCATTTTAATTTATATATTTATTAGTTTTGATGGTGGATGTGCTTGAATTTGAAAATCAATAATAATGTTATTTATTTTGCACTTCTTCTGTTTGCACATGTTTTTCTTCTATGGCCGCGAGTCAATCAAGTGTGTTGATCTGTGTATTAGTGCGATACTGTAGGTTCTCTGACTTCCACTGAACAAACTGCATTTTTTCATTGCCGTAATTGCATGTATGTCCATGTGTTGAGATGTCACGTGGTAAATGTTATATCCATATCGTAATATCGATGTCATTGTGTTAAGATATTACAGTCCCTCCTCTGCTGCCAGTGCTACTTTTAAAAGTGGAAAGTTTTACTCTGCAGACCTTCATGTCCTGTTGAAACCATAATATATATATTTTGAGGTAAAATACCAAACTGACTGCGAGAGCTCAGATCAGCATGGTGAGGTCAGCCATCCTGCTGATCACCCATTACAGGAGAAACTGTCCTTCCAGATCAGCGGCTGTTGGCAACTTCATTGTCTCAGTGTTCTTCAGCAGTCAGAGGTCAGGGGTCGGGGGTTCAGCCCAGCCGTGTGTGTGTGTGTGTGTGTGTGTGTGTGTGTGTGTGTGTGTGTGTGTGTGTGTGTGTGGGGCTCTCCATGGAGATTTCTGCTTGTAGACTGTAGAAGCCATATTGTCTGTGCTGCAACACTTGTGCAATCTCATCAAACTGTAAATTAGAGAGCCATGGGGAACAAGTCAAATGAATATAACATGATCTAAAAGAAATCACTCTGTACTCATTAAAAAAAGATGCTTGTGAATGTATCATACCTAGAGATAAAAAGCTGTATGACAATGGATGACTCATAATATTTCATTAAATATAGCTGTGGTATTTTCCTCTTGTTTTGCTTCAGTTATTGTGTTTATTGATGAAATGTGCATGAAGAGTCATATCTTCAGAAGAAAACCTACGTTCCTACACAATATGGAAAGTATGGAATTCGATTTTAGTCATTTCCAGGTTTCCTGGGTCAGGAGGGAAAACCGTGCGTTTATATTTGCCCCTATTCTGTTTTCTAAAGTTTGAGATTCAGATTTTTTTTAAATGAATCAATCATACAAACAGCAGAGTGGTTTTCATGGTGTTTGGAGCAGCAAGCCAGTGCAGCCAAAATGTTTACCAGTGAGTGAGAGCAAGCTTGATGTTGTCGAAAGCGAGGACTGCGACTGAACACACACTTAGAGCTGCCTTTATGACTGTAAGTCACAGCCATACCATCATTTTTTCGACATGCTATTCTATGACTTTGACATGTTGAAAAAAGTCAGAAAAAGTAATGGTATATAGTATGTCTGAAACTAATATTATAGTATACTGGAAACAATCATAGTATAGTACGATAAAAAAGTCTTAAAAAATCCATAGTACAGCATGTCGAAAAATCAAAAAGAAAGTCATAGTATAGCATGTCAAAAATGTATAAAAAGAGTCAGTATAGTATGTCTGAAAAAAGTCAAAAACGTAATAGTATAGTATTTACAGAGAAGTCTGGAAATTTGACTCTGGAAAAGTTTGTAATTTTGAAATGGAAAATGAGTAGAAACTCTGAAAAAAGTCATGCTCTATATCAACTCTTAGAGGTGGGTATGCTCTGGCATATATCTAGCTCATAATCCCTGTCCCTCTGTACCCGTATTACAATACAAAGCCCACCCAACAATGCTGAAGAATTAGCTTTCTGCCCTTTTCTTTGTGCTTGTGCTGGAGCTCTGGAGGAACGGAGAGGGAAAAAAAGAGGGCAGGGAAAGAGAAAGTCGTGGGAGCACCACTGAAGAGACCGAACGTGGTTTGGGTGAGGAAAGGGCATGAAGAGAGAAAGAGACAAACAGTTGAATGATATTTCATGATTTTGGCTCACATGTGGCCATTGTGCAGAGTCCCAGGGAGATGTCCTCCCACACCAGACAGAGGAGACAATTCAGAACTGACAATGACACCAGAGTATAACGCCTCTCTGGTGAGTCAGAGATGGCGTACAGTGTCAGGGGTAGCATCTGTGTATGTGTGTGTGTGTGTGTGTGTGTGGCTGGCTGTCTAACACATGTTCGTGTGCATGATATGTGAGGTGGGACATTGTGTGCTGGAAGAGTGAATGTGTCTTTGTGCGTGTGTGTGTGTGTGTGTGTGTGTGTGTGTGCGTGTGTGTGTGTGCGTGTGTGTGTGTGTGCGCGTGTGTGTGTGTGTGTGCGTGCAAAAAATGAATAATGCAAAGGATGCCTGTACGAGCATGAGGGCCGGGAGGAGGGCAGATGGTCGCTTGCTGATAGGACAGAATCCAGGCAACAGGGTCCTCCAGAGAGTTGTGTTTAGACCTGGTGTAACACACACACGCACATGGACATACATACACAAATACACTCACACAACCCACAAATATTCAGGTTTCTAAAATATATAGAATAAAATATGTTTCTAAAACGTATATATATATATGTGTGTATTTTTCCCCCTCTTTTTTGCCTTTAAATTACACATTTTGTCCCAGATTTCATAATAAAAGCCTGGTTATTACAAGTATAGATAAGACGGTGAAACAACACAGTTGTAAATATGGGAATTGAAGTCTGTCATTTCCTGAATTAGTTCTAGTTGTTCAGAAATGGATTGGAAATCAATTTAAAAAACATATACTAGGAATTTTTTCATCGACTCTGGCATTGTTACATTCCCATTATTCTTAAATTAGTTTATTATTATCACTATTATTATTATTGATTTGTACAGATTGTAAAGCCTCTGAACCAAATGTGTTATTTGTGATGTTGGGCTGTATAAATAAGTTTGTCATATATATTATAAGAGTCATAAGTCAAGCAGCTGTATAGCCGGGATTTATTGAGATCATGAGTCCCCCAAGCCCCCCAAAAATAATCTAAATATTTGTATATTTTAAGTATTTAAAAGAAATTCCTCTAATTCCTTCTATCTACTGCTTGTAATAATTGTTTCTTTGAACTTTGTTTCTATATTTTTCCTTTAATTAGTAGATTAATTAGACCAGATTATAGAACGATATCCAGGAAACTTCCTCCACACACTGCCAATAATTATATTCTGCTGGAGTAATGAAGCATTGTGATGGAAAAATATTGGAATCAACCTAAGGAGTGTGTACGTTTTTAACTGTAGAGTATAACTTATATTATGTAATAACCTCACTAAATTCTCAGAATAAAATGCAAGGGGTATGACTCAGACTCAGTGTAAAGCTACAGCCAGCTATAACTTAGAAGTTAGACAGGATTATTGTCACATAAAAAAAATACCAACATTCATTGTTGACGATGAATCAACCACCCTCCATCCAACCCAAGCATGCATTGAACTACTAACAGCCACTAGGGGGCATCAGCAGACTGTTTCTGATTTGGCCACCAATCAGCTCAAACATGCAGAACATATGAAACATGGGGTGAAAGCAAACATGAGGAAGGACATGTGCTGAAGAGTAGGAAACCTCATTGAAGATCAAATTAGACCAGAAATCTTACTTCAGCAAAATACAGAAAAATGTGTGAAAACAAGGGTGAGGTTCATTGTTACTCTTTTAAATGGGCACTACAGGTTTCTCAGCTCTCTTTTTCAAAAACTATTTTAATTCCCACTCAATATTTCAGTGTTATTTAGCATTATTACGATTATTCAAAAATATTTCACATCAAAATGATAAATATATATTCATAATTATTTTTCTATGTATAATGAAGGCAGATGACACATCATAAGTATTGTTTATAATGCATCACCTTCTGTCCTACACCTGCAGTTAGGCCTACACTATCCTGCTGTGCAGACCTCAGGCATGTGTACAAATAGAAAAGCTTCAATTGTTTTGACATTCTGAATTACGTCTCGTCATAACCGTCAATTAGTTTCCACATTTATCCTGATGAAAATATTAATTATTAATAACTACGGTGTGTTTCAATTTCAGGCCATTGACCGTCGGTCTGAGCATCGTCACGCATAACTCTCTTCACAACAGTATCAGGGCAGATCAGCAGCGAACACTTTACCGAAACAGCTGAAGGACGATTTTAAGCAACCGAGACGGATGATAAAATCCATAATTAAAATACAAGGCCGCCTTCAAGAAATAAAATAAATCAAAAGGCTTGTCGCCAGAGTTGCGAATTTCCCTGAGGCATAATAACGTGCAGAGACTGCAGAGTTGTAGAAAACAAATACGATTTAATGACAAAAAAGCATATAGAAATTGTGCAATCATTGATTTCCTTTTCCTCTTCGTTTGATCACAGATTTCAGGTCGATGCTATTTTGTTTTGGTTTTGATTTTTTTTTTCCCACCTTAGAAACTCAAATTCAGCTGAAGGATTAGCCTACTCGTGATAGTCACAATAATGATAAGGTTTTTTGGATTCCATAAATTTAGGATATTATATAAATTAGGGCAAATTATTAGGTATACCCTTTAATAAGGAAAATGCACTGGTGGACGAATTACAAAACAATGCGTAAAATATTGCTATGCTTCATTTTTAATGATTGGCGATGATTTATTAAAAAAATTGTCTCTGACATTGTAAACTGGGTCTAATACATTCAGACAGTTTTTGAAATACAAAACGTCTCGTGGAAATTGTCCACAATTCATATTATCAAAATATCACATTTTCTCCCTGTTCATCTAAATCCTTCAGTTGGATTTTAGTTTCTCAATGTTGTATATTTTTTTAGATTTCAGTCGGAGAATTCATCCCCAACTCGTGGATTTTCCTCAATAACCTGCCACTATCAGATCAGGTTATTAATCACAGGATTTAAGTGGCACAAGAACACGTGTCTGTGTTTGTGCTTTGGCACAGAATGACAGAGAATAAAACAGAGCAAACAAACAAACAAACACACAAACAAACAAACAAACGAAGCCATACAAAAAAACCGATTTGAGATACATCCCACAAATAGTCTTCTCGGTGGATGAATGAGTCATACAGTAGTAGTAGTAGTAGTAGTATAGCCACTGCGGCCAGAGCTGGTACCAGGATATATTCAGGGTTTTTTTCTTCTTAGTAAAAGGAAGGCAAAATGGGCTGGATTGCTTTGAGTGTTCCAGCCGGACAGTCTCGGTCTTTCTCTTCACAGCATTTTGGAAAAGTACAGAAATAACAAACAGCTAAAACACACTGTAAACAGGCGCACAGAAATGTCTGCACGGAAAGAAAAGCATTAAAGTAAACCAATACTCAGTCTCTAAATTGTTATCATTATTGTTTTTATCATTATTACTACTTTTATTATTATTATTATTATTCATATTATTATAATTGTAGCTGACACTACAATCAATACATCACATTCCAATTTGATTTATAATAATAATAACAATAATAATAATAATGAAAGCAGTTGGCTGGTATTAGCTTGAATTTTGAACATTGTACAGCAGGTTTCTGCCATTTCAGCCCTCTCTTGCCACAAGCCGCGAAGAACCCCTGTTGCTTTTGTTATGATGGAAAGATGGCGTTTATCTATCCACACTGACTGCGACTTATTATCGAGCCCGAAGCTTGTTTCTATATCCCCCCCTGCGGACACCTCGTGTCCACATCTCACTCTGCCTTTCTTTAATGACACATTACATAACGACACATTGGCGCCTCGGTAGAAGGCATGGAAAAGCATTTCTTATCAATGTCGCTGTATTTTTTTGTTTTTTTTTTTGGTTAGCGCACACCAGCCGTATCCCAAAATGCTTGGCAGTTCCGCGGCATGAAACATCTCCATACAGCTCACTGCTATGCGTATTTTCAGTGCTTGTGTGCCACTGTATATCCCCACTGTGTGTGTCCGTGGGTCCAACATTTAAACTGGCTGAGGTCCAGATCCGTGCGGTCCAGCACAGAGAATCAAACAAATAAGGAGGCATTATTCCTCCTTGAGTGGTCTGTTTACTCAGAATAGCGGACTAGGGTCACTGCACAGGAGTGTGTCCTCCGTGATGAGGAGGGGTGTCCCCGTACATGTCCTCTCCTCCTGGTATCTGTCCCCCAGCGGGTGTCATCCTCTTCTCTTTCTGCCGCCTGTTACAAAACCAAACCCTCACCACCTCCTTCTCCAGCTGCAGGCTTTCCGCTAGGGAGTTGATCTCCGCTCCTCCCGGTTTTGGACATTTGAGAAAATGGCTCTCCAGAGCCCCTTTGACACCCACCTCGATGGAGGTCCTCTTTTTTCTTTTCCTTCCCTGTGCGGCGATTTTATCCAAGCTAGTTGGGCTCCCCGAGGTGGAGTCCGCCTCCTCCAGCCACTTGTTCAACAAGGGCTTGAGTTTACACATGTTTTTGAAGCTGAGTTGAAGCGCCTCGAACCTGCAAATGGTGGTCTGAGAAAAGACGTTTCCATAGAGCGTCCCAAGAGCCAGTCCCACGTCCGCCTGGGTGAAGCCCAGCTTGATACGTCGCTGCTTGAACTGTTTGGCAAACTGCTCCAACTCGTCGGAGGTTGGTGTGTCCTCGTCTGAGTGGTCCTGATGGCCCCCGTGCTGGTGATGGTGTGAGTGAGACTGCTGGTGGGCCCCAGGGCCGCCTCCGTGTTCACTGAGGTGCGGACTGTGGCTGTGGTGGTCCTCGTCCCGCAGGGGGTGGTGGTGCATTCCCCCTTGCTCTCCCCCTGGCATCAGTCCGAAGCCGGACTGGGAATACACCAGGCTCTGGCCCTCAGACGTCGCCATACCGGGGATGTGCGTTGTGGCTGTGCTGGTTCGCCATGCTCTGGCGTCGTGATGTGCCTGCTGGTGCGCTAGGTGTGGGTGTCGCTGTTGCTGCTGCTGTTGCTGCAGACTGCTGGAGTTCTGCAGCTCCTCTCGGTCACTGTCGTGCAGTACGGGCTTCACGTCCTGCTCTCCGAGGGGACTAGATGGCCAGGGCGCCCCGCTGTCACCGTGAGAGAGCGCCGTTATCCACTGATGCGCGTGGCTGAGCGGATGTCCACCGCCCGGTAACGTGCTATAGTCGTTCTGGAGCAAGGTGTGCGCGTCCCTGTACGCTGCCGCCTGCTGCATGCTCCCGGACTCCGAGTGCGGCGGCGGCGCGCTGCTGGGGGTGGTGAGGACGCTGTAGTGGTTGGATGTTGCGGTCGCCATAACTATCGGAGCCAGAGTGATAGCTGGAGTTAAAAGGAGGCTGCCTTTGACAGTAACTCTTTTGCGCCACGGGGCAGATAGGCGTCTCTCTCCAGCATCTCCCGGGCGCTGTGCCAAGGGGACGCAGAGGCGCGCACCTGTGGTCCGCCTCGCTCCGCTCTTTATTGGCCAAGAACGGTTGACAGATGTGGTTACCCCTGACAGCACCCCGCTCATTGGTCACGGGAGATTGTACAGAAACCCCAATCACTCTGCCCAACAATACTAGCACTCCTACAGCATGCATGAGTACAAAGTGGAGGGAGAAATCGGGCTGCCGAGAGTAAATAGAAAAGACTGAAGAAGCTCGTACGAAAAAGAAAAAAAGTTCTTAATTAACATTGATCTGGGTCAGTGGGTCACGTTTAGTAGTTTCGTGCGTCAAACCAGTGCGTAAAAGTTGCATGAGCTATACACAATTTGCACATTAATTGCTGTATTGAAAACATTTATGCGATCAAGAATATAGACCATTCAACCTCCAAATATTATAAACTACCAAACCTTGATTTGGTTCAATTTTCCTACATTTGAAGTTGAGTATTTGGGATATTTCTGCGCCATAAAGCAGTAAGTGATCGTGGGGAGAAACTTACAGCTGCCTCTCTGCCCTCAGGACGCTGTCCAGAGAGAGGGGCTGCGTGCTTCCAGGGCCTCTGCCCCGTTGCCATGGCGAACGCGCTGAATGGAACAACAACGCCCACGTCACAGCTGCAATTCGCTCCTTCTTTTCGTTCCGTTCCAAAGGGCTCATTGGGGCCGCGCGCTCGGCCGTCGGGACAAATAATGGGGGCGAGCGGAGAGGGCAGCTCGGGGCTAAAGAGAGGAGGCTGAAATAATGGATCCCTTAGCCTGCGCTGAGTCCACCGTGCCCCCTTCCACCTGCTTGTTGGGTAAACTTTGAGACGGATGCACACACAGTGGCACGCGAGGCTCGGGTTCCCAAAACTCCTCCTAAAACTGAAACAGGGCTTGATTTTCAATATTTTGAAGGAGAAAAAATGTCTTCCCTCTAATGCACAAAATATAGAGAAGGGCTCCCAATTTGATAAGAACTTCAAAAATATCTGCCTCATACAGCGGTGAAAAGTAAGTAACCAAACACTTCAGTGCTCCTTTTGTATTTCCATTTTATACATTTATACTTATTTCTACTTCTACTACTCCATTACATTTCACAGCCAAATATTGCACTTTTTATTCCACTACATGCTAATTACTTTGCAGACAAAGTGGATACATACAAAACAAATGATGGCCTTATAATATGTGATGCATTGTCTTTGATTACCCAACATATACACAGTTGCAACTATTAGCATATACTAGCTAGCATATATATTAATTTTACTCTCTCAAACAGATAATTCTATTTAATCTTATTTTAAATACACAGTGATAATGCAAGTTTTACCATAAAGGTGTTGATTCTGATGATGAGACATATCTGTCTCTTGGCAGTGTTGGTAAGAAAATAACAGTGGAGCTGGTTAGTGAAAATTCATCAAAGCATTCATTTTTCATTATCTGCTGGACCTATCTTTAAATGAATGCAACGATACTGAAACTAAACTAATCCTCATTCTGCTGAGCCCCCCCAAAACCCTTTTAGACCCCTGGGAGGTCCCTGGACCTACTTTGGCAACTACTGGTATTTAGGAGATGTGATTTTATCGGCTCAAAGTGGGACAGCGGCTGTAAAACATAACAGCTATTTAAGAGGTTAAAGGAACCTCAAAGGATAACAAAAATATGCAAGTTTCACCTTCAAGCAGAGGTGCTATGCAACATCTTGGGCACTAATCAAAATGTGTATATTTTTTTTTTGGGGGGGGGGGGGTTTAAAGTCCTACCTAGACCCAATCCACACAAAGACAATATAATTCACTTTACACCGTTAATTAACGACCATACCATGGTAAGATTTCAAATGAAGAGATAGGTTAATTGATTAATACTTTGAATGTAATCAAGCCGAGGATGCACAGACATAAACTGACGCACATTGAATTATGGGATCGCAAGAACACTGGATTATGATCAGGGTGTAATTCTGAGAATTACCAAATGTGTCGCCAGGGGCTCTGGCAAGCCGTGTGTTGAGAGAGGCAAAACATATTACCCTAATAGACTAATATGCAAACTACTGGCTGCCCAATTACAGGGCTTAATAACGCATAAACGATGCGAATCCTGTTCTTACAAGACGAAGAGGTCGCTGTTAATTCAGTCAAAGGGCTGGGTATGCTGTCAACACATGCAGAGGTTCCACACACATATACTGTCTGTGTTTCCGTGTCCCTCGTTCTGTATTCAAGAGTGAGAGTTAATGATGAAGAATCTGAGCGTTAAATTAACAGTAATTATATGGCCCCAGTGCTGTAAAGATTCAATTTCTTCGCAAGCCTAATGGGCCTAAGTGTCCCTATGCGCAAACAGAACTCTCTAAGAGATATTTATGATTGAAACACACACAGACGGAACAAAAACAAACACGCACACACACACATTGTCTACACCTATAGCATCTGTGGCTTTAAACATCTTGATTTTAAGAGTGAATTATTTCTGGTGTACAAGCGCAGCACTGAAACTGTATTCAAGTCAAATCCAAATGTGAAAAGCCACTTTTTTGCTCTTGTGTAAATAGTGCAACTCGTTCTCGGGCATTGGTTTAAGAAAGAGTGGTTCAAGCGTGAGGTGAAGCCGTTTTATGTTAATGAATATTTGCGAGCAAACCAGTATTCTGGTTGCTTTCACTTTCTCCAGACCAGTGTGCTACTGGCCCATGTCCCTCCCCCTGTGGGAACACTAACGCAGGAGTAACTGAGGAAGGGGGGCTTCTTTATGCTGCTGGACACAGGGAGATAATGGCCATTCCTCCACAGCTGGCCCAAACAATCAAAGGGAGAGGGGGCTCGAAGGATTCCAGCTTTAACCAGACTATTGTCTGGGATAATTACATCTGAATGCAGGACCCCAAGAACTCACCTCCCCCCTGAGCAAAACCTGCACAGAATACCCCAAACAGCCCTTCAGGGATGAGGGAAAGTGCAGTTAGAAGGCACACACACATAAATATATAAACTCTGAACTCCTTCATTACTCCTTAATGTAAGCACACAAGCATACACACACACTGTGGACATGTTCATTACTTTTACACACTCACATCCCCAGCAGGCTCTCATCAAAGTGTTGTGTCTCTCTCACAAACACACTCGCATGTGGCACTCAGCATTAGATCAGATCTCAGCTTGCTGCTCTCAGAAGAGATGAGGAGGTCTTAGAGGACTTAGGTTGAATAGAAAACCCACTGAAGAGCCTTTCCCCAATGCACCCCCATAATCCCAATCTATACACTCCCTCTTCCCCAAAAACCGCCAGTGCTCGGCCCCATCTGTAGCCTGAACTGTGTAGCCTCAGCTCGGTACATCGCAGTTTGTGTCTGTGAAATCTGCAGCACGATGTCAGGATGTCCTGATTTGGTGCTCCATCTTTTGGTTTTGCAGTCAGAAAATACATCCAACTTGTTTCCTCACACTCACTGATACATTGATTTCTTCAGATATTATGCGCACTGCGGCATGTCTGTTGCTGTGTATGTTTGAGAGAGAGAGAGAGAGAGAGAGAGAGAGAGAGAGAGAGAGAGAGAGTTGTGTGAGACAATCCCAAAAGCATACTAGAAAAGGCTCAAATTGAATTGTGCTCGCTAACGCTGAAAGGTGCAGGTGCAAACACTGTTAACGTGTTAAAATGTCTTCAAATGTAAATTGCTTGCATCTGAGATGTTGAATGGGAGTTGCAATTTAAGTTGCAGAACTTCAAGCGGTTGAAGTGTCAACTGAAGTGGAAGCACTGAAAGGGTTTGAATTGGCATTTGAAAGTGAAATTGCTAAAAGTATTTGAATTTTTTTCCTTTAGCAGTGAAAGCAGTTTAACTTTCAGTTGAACAATGAAAGCGTTTGAAATATTTAAAAAGTAATGAATGCAGTTGGAATAATAACAGAAGTTAGAGTGCCAGAGAGAGTTCAAGTACAATGGGAATTGTTAGTTGGTATGTAAGTAATGACAGCAGTTTCAATGTCACTTTGAGTGTTTGAGTTGTCAGTTGAAAAGTACAAATTATTTGAAGTGTCAGTAGATGCAAAGATGCAGAAAGTGGTTCAAATGTGTATTTCAAATCTAAGCTCTTAAACTTAAACACTTAAGTGTGTATATAAACACTGAAAGCATGTCATTTAAAGTTGAATCTCCACAGATAACTAAAGTGCACTGTCAATATGGCAATATTATCCTCGTCATGCGGATAGCATATTAAAATTGAAATTGAAATTGAAATAGAATAGCCGTGTCAGTTGATATGTGAAGAGTAAAATCTGTTGAAATGTCATTTGAAGAGTAAAAATGAGATGAAGTGTCAGGTGATGTGGAGAGGGCTGGGCGCATTTATAATTTCTGCTGGAGCTTTTGACATGGTAGTGATAGGTGAAGTGTGTGCACTGTTAATAGTGTAAGTAAGTGCAATACACACCAGTGCAGACACTAACCCAACCAATCCCTTTTATCTCTGCTCTCTTAGCTTGTGGGTGTGAGTTAAGGTTTGTATGTTATGTGGACTTACACAACATTTTCCCTGGACACGTTTCACATTGTGTGTGCGTGTGTGTGCATGTGTGTGTGACAGTTTCAGGGTTAGGAGGTCTCACTGGTGCTCAGTTTAGCATTGATTTATTCTCTTTCTCCAATTTATTTCCCCTTCGCCTGATCTGCCTCTGGGAGGACAAATGGAGGAGAAACGCCAAGCACAGTAACCATCTCTCACATTCTCTCTCTCTCTCTCTCTCACACACACACACACACACATACACACACACACACACACATACAATAAACACAATGACAAATGTTTCCACGAGTAGAAATGCACTTACATTTGTATTTCTGCATTAGGCTGGTAAACAAATGCGTGTGCACACACACACACACACACACACACACACACACACACACACAGAGACGTTTAAAGCTTAGGTTCTCTATTTCTAGTGTTACTGTCCTGGACCAATCAGAGTGGTGACGATTAAGGATAACTACAAATTCACAACACTCCCCAACTCCCAAGGTACCAGGACTCCTATAAGACTTCCCATGTTGTCCCATATAACTGTCTTCAGAGAACCCATAAAGACATAAAGGGACGCTCCTACCTCTAGGTGAGTGGTCATAATTCACCTGCAGGTATTTTTACCGTGACATTGCTGTCGCGGTGCACAGATTCATCTCACCTCCTGGTTTATAATGTCCAGCACAAACTCCAGATAGGAAAAGCATGAGTGCAGTCATATTTTACGGGCAGCTTGATGTCCCAGCCTACTGTAATGGCTCGGTGTTGGAGGAGGAATGAGTGGGCCCGTGGCCCTGGGTACAGGCTTACCACCTCACGTCACTTCTTTTTTGGGGTGTAATAACAAACCTCTCTCTTTTTCTACCCAAGTAGAAAAAAGCGCATCAGAAACAGGGGAGCGAGGGACGGGAGGAGGGGCAGGTAGGTCGTTAAACCCACTTGAAAGCTCAGCGCCCTGATCGATAGTCTTGGACCAGGCAGGGATTAAAATCAGGCTAAGTCTGTTCCAATCAATACTGATGGCTAACCCTGGGGTTAAAACAGGAGTAAATCTCCATACTTGTCCATACACAAGTCGGCACTATGGCCTACAGTACA